TAAATTTCAAGCACTTGAGTTGCAATTCAGGTTTCGTCGTGTCGTCGATTAGTCTTTAATTAACCTGTACCCGTGTTAGCGCGTGTACGCGACGCGTTTCGTCTGCAAATGTGTATGCATGTTTGATCGTGAGCATGTGTGTATGTGTATGAGTGTGTGTCACACGCGGGACGAGGAATGACGAATACGTTTGGGACATTATTTCCGGATGCACGTGCACGCAGGCCCTCTCAGGGATTCAAAGAGGCACGGGTCGCTTACTTTCTAGAGACCTCCCGGTATATTAAACAAAAAAAAAAAAAAAAAAGGATTCCTTTATGCGCCAGGAGTAATATTTTTGGTACGTAATATCACTGCTGGTGGGAAACTGGTTTCGAGACCAAGACCGAGCCAGCACACAGAGATTAAATTTTATTATAAAATAATCTCTAACAGTCCCTATTATGGATTAATTTACTCGATGGCGAAATCGTTTGGTAATGAAATTTGATCCCTAAGCACAGATTATTTTCCAATAAAATTTAATCTATACGCGCCGCGATGCTGTTTAGGACCAATCTATTTTCTTGGGACAGATTTAATTTATTGGGTACGCGGAGCAGTAATTCCGACTAATTAATTTAATTATGGTAGGTAAACCGATGAGCGAGGGGCCGTGTGTGAAAAACAAGTTTCTTCGGAGTGTTCGAATGGTTAATAAAAGTACCTTTAAGAGGTACTCAATCACGAGCAGTATATTATTAAGCGATTTCGAACATTGATAGCAATGTTGATTGTTTAGGCTCACGATTATGGCTTCACGATTAGGGCCTTGCTTGCACACTGCTCGAATAATATTTTATTCATTGTAGGCAAGACTGCTTTCGAAAAACTTGTGTACACCTGCGAGCGCGCGTGCGTGTGTGTTGTGTTTATATTAATTTGTATTTTTCACGTTCGCGCGTGCGTATGTGTCTGACGTGTGAAAAAAGCCTTTGTCACTCGAAAGGTCCTTTTCCTTTCTGTAACTATTTTTTTTTTCTTCTCTAGATAGTCCGTAATAAGTATGTATATAAACGAATACTGTTACCTACAATTGTAATGAACACATTATTTTGCCTCTTTATCTCCCTCCCCCCAACACCACTTGCGCGACATCACTCGCGCTCGCGTCCACTTCGATAAACAGATTTCTGCGATCGGCCGCGACGACATTTCGTATATATATATTTTCTTATTTTTCATTGATTTTTCTAATACTTAATGAATATAATCGCACAACAATCGTTCACTTACGAACGATCTGGTTCGTTGTAATAAAATTATTATGAATCATCATCGTGTTTAGCAATGAAATGCTCGAGAAAAGAAAACTTGTAACTAAAACTCGTAACAATAATAATAGTTATAGTAATGGTGATATTAAGAAACCTTAATATTAATATTAATATTAATCATAATAATAATAATAATAATAATAATAATAATAATAATAATAATAATAATAATGTTTAAGTCAATATTTAGGAGTCTCTCTAACTCGCGCGCGCGCGCGGTGTTCGTGTGTATATAATATTTAATATATATGTATATATGCTCGTATATTACGTATGCGTGTGTGTTTATATATATTTATATAAATAAACCTATATGTATATATCTATAGATATACATATAATATGTACAGTGTTTATATACATTTAAAAGCGTAGTCAGGCCATCACAGGCCAGGAAAAATGTTGAAATTTTTTTTTCCATTTGTTTAATTTTTTCCTGTAAATCCCCGTTATTGTTCACCTTACGAGCACCGTGACGAACAGACCGAACGATTAAAAGAGCCGAGAACTTCGCTATTTTTCAAGCGACTGAGAGATCCACCCATCTTTACGAATTCTATCAGCGATAAAGCTCGCGAAACGATCGTTCACGTTAAGGATCGAGCTTGGTAAAAAAAATCGTTCGATCCTTCCTTTAATCAGTTTTCGGGCGCTGCGTCTCCTTCTCGTTCGCAATTTTTATTTCTATCAATCACTAACGAAAGTAACGATCCGCTAACGAGCCTTTTTCCTATCGTTTGCCTTTATTGCACCCGTTGAAAGTTTTATCGTATAAACGAAGGGCGAAATGTGAGAAACAACCAGAGATGGGCATAATTTTCATTCGAACAACAAACGACGTACGAAACGCGATTGAACGCGTAGCGATTCAATCTAGGAAGTTACGAGTTCCCACGTAGCAAATAATAAAACATCTTTATTCGAAACACATTTTCCATTCGATTCAACGTGAGATATCTCGGTCCTATAAATATTACATATACAGTAGAAAAAACAAAAGTTTAATTAACGTCGCACACTCGTGATCGTGGAATAAATAAACTGTTGCTCTTACGACCTATATATGGTAGACTAAACTATCGAAAATAATTCCTACTCGAGCAGTAAGTGCAAATAAAAACAACCTCACAGATTCCAACTTTTCGTTCTATAATTCAAAGTTTATTCGTCGAGAAATCGGATAAACGGTCGAATGTTAGCAAGGCAAACCTTCCATTTGACGATCGGTACGATCAGGATAAGAACTTCGTCCACCTCTGGGGGGCGAAAAACCACCGTCTACGGCGATCAGGAGGAAGAATAGAGAAGACGGACGAAAGGGACTTCGATTCGAAAATTGAACTACGACGACGCGCGCTAACGAGAAGCCGCGAAGAAAGTTATCGCGGGAAATTAGGATTCAACGGGGGGAAAGGGGTCCTACGTTTCCGTTCCTCATGCTGGATTCGAACTGTTTCCACCTACACGCTCTCGTGATTCATTCGCTCACCTACTTATAAGCCTCACAGAATACCAACCACTGCTAGATGCATCGAATCGCGCCACGAGTCGGAACTTTCAAAATCGCACAGCGATCATCGATCGGCGAACCACCTACCCATCAACGACGACGGTAAGAACGCGGGAGAAAACAATGGGATTTGACAATGGAGAGATTGGCTAATCGTAGCTGTCACTGTAGTGCTAAAATTGCAACGTCGAACGCGCTTTCTAAGCAATCGTGCGAAACAACCGAGGGTTACGCTCGATCCTCTGGGATCCTTGATCTCTCGTCGTCTTCGACCCTTTCGGACCTGGAGGCAATGTACGCGTGATATTCTGTGGTCCAGGATACACAGGGTTTGGGCAAAATAATATGAATACAGTTAATTTTGGACTGATTGCAACTGGTAAACATGGAGGAAGAGCTTATTTGATATTCTGTTGAATATTGTAAATAATCGGTAGTTTACGCTATGTTCTACGTATTGGACTCCAAGAATGATGCTATTTTTGAAGGTGATGATGCATCCTTTCTTATAGGTCTGCATTTAAACGTACTTCCAATTGTTAAACATGAAAAATTAAAATGATTCAATGTTCAACTCGGTATTATAGGTACTCGGAGGTTTACACTATGTTCTACATACTGTACTCCAAGAATGGTACTATTTTTTAATATAGCTATTCGAATCGCTCCGAAGCGATTGGAAGACGTTTCGATAGGAGTCCGGAAAACTTCAAAATTAGCATCCATTCCAAGGAAAATAAACTGCTCTAATAAATGCAAATGTTACCTCAACTCCAGGTGTTCACGTTTGTTGTTACCTCAATTCACAAGTGTTCACGATATTCTGTCCACTCCCTTCTCTCTTGTATTTATGAAATGATGCAATTTACACCCAACGTTAAAACCGAAAGGGGATGGTTTCTCTGATTCTAAAAAATGTTACGGTACGCGTCGCGACATTTACGAGGAATGGGTTTTAACTTCGACTGATTCCAAAACTCGCTCGACAACCGATGGATGCAGTTTCTTTCGGCTCGTTTCTGAAAAACGTATTATTTATCGTCAGTTAGCTGCTCGTTCGATGGCAACCAGTCGTAAGCGGAATATACCTGACTCTTCCAGTTCGGACTTTTACATGTTAAATCTCCTCTTAAAAGAGAACTTCCACGAGTAACTTCTTTCCCAGTTACCGATACGAGTTTTGGAAAAAGAACCAAAGTCTGCATGCGCGTTTCCCCGTTCTTTCTTTTTGTTAAAAAGGAAAAGATACGCCTTGGAAACCGGTTCAGCTATGAAGTATGTCCTAAGACCAGTCGTCGGTTGGGAACTGGTGATACCAGCGTCGGATAAGCTGCGATAAGTTTCGTATCCAAGCTTCTTCTCGCGTACGTTTCGCATCGCCGATGAAATCCAAGAGGGATGGAAATCGATCGACGATTGTTTCACGTACTCTGTAAGTATCGTCTTTATCCACCTCGACTATTGTCGGGGATTGGTCTCAACTTCGTAAATGCAACTCTTGTATCCAAAAGTGAAAATGGAGGAACCGTAAATAATGTATTTTGATACTCGTTTGCTTACTAAGTAATGTTTTCCTCGCAACTATCCACGCTACCGGGTATCCAAGTTCCTCTGATCCGGTCTTGATCAACAATCCGCGCGATAAGGCGCTCAGTGATCGAGAATTCGAACGATAAGAATGAAATCGACTTCAAGTTCACAGTTCCTTTTGTCGCGCTGTTTTCCATTCGCGAACGTAAAGAGAGAGAGAGAGAGAGAGAGAAAGAGAGAGAGAGAGAAGAAGAAGAAGAAGAAGAAGAAGAAGAAGAAGAAGAAGAAGAAG